GCCCCGCCAGGTGTTGAGGTAGCCCCCTGGCAGGGGAGCGTACTCCCTGTCCGGTCCCAGGGAGCGCTGGGGTCAGGTCCTTCCCCTGCGCCCGCACGTCGCTTGTTTTCCAGCCCGGTAGTTACATGTAACTAGTTTCACTGGAAGAGGCTTAACTTTATGAACTGACGAAAAGAGAAATTGTCATTGTCACCGTGCACCTGCAGGGGAAACCTGCCAGGTGGAAGCCGAAGACCAGGAGTGTTGATTCTCCCGCTCTCTCTTCCTTTTGCTCCCTTTCCCCTGTGTGCTGGAGCACATGCGGCGCACGGGCACACCCTTACCTGGGACCCCTGCAAAATGCTTTGCGGAACCTGTGCAAAAACCGTATCTGTATTGTTTCAGATTTCTGAGAGAAGATCCGCATAAAGAGTAGGTACAATAGCGTATTATATTGGGAACTACTAGAAAATATTCTGTAAGCATATATTTTACATATTTTTAAAGGTTATGCAACTCTACTACCTTTACAAAGCACCCCTTGGGGTGTGGACATGAGTGGTTGAAAAGTGTTTTAGCACCCATTCAAATAAGGTTATTTATAAAGATGCATTAACGTGTGCGTGTTGATTCTGTTTTCTTCATATTTCCGTGTATAGGAGTATTCATATTCCTGTTCTATTGCATTGCGATACTGTCATTGCTACAGCATTTGCGATCGTGTTCTTTTATATGCCTCATCCAAGCACATGGTACCTTTTAGGTACATAGTTACAGTCGCTTTTATATTTCGCTTTAAAAGCGTTACCCTAAATAATTATTTCAGGATAACTTCTTCCAAAAAGTGAACTTCTTTCTATTTTAGCATTTTGGAAGAGTTTAAATCCCCAAATACACCTGAGCACTTTTGTTAAATGCAGTCCTAGTTCTAAGTTCTGCCTTGGGATGTGGATATGCTGCATCCTTTGCAGTCAGTAGATGTGAGACAAAGTACATTCAGGGTCAGAGTGGGCACTTACTAATGGCACTACTTGTTTATCCGTAGTCATTTGCCAGACCCTGGCCTTTGGACAGCAGGAGGTATAAACTGATAAGCTATTCGTACCTGAGGAACTGAGTTGCCAGTCCTGCCGCTCTGCCCTTGCCTGCCCGTACTCCGCGGGTGGCTGGCTCCTTTTCCCGCCTCTACTCTGGTTTGCACCCAGCAGTCCGCAGTCCCTGACTGCTCCATAATGCTGGAAACATTATGGACAGGTGGAGAATCATCGGCCCCTCTCTGCACATGGATTGGAGCAGAGATGTGAACAGGGAATTGGAAAGCCCTTCCTTCGTGGAACTCTTTCCACCTGGGTGCCTCAGAGGCAGTCATCGGGAGCCACTTAAATATCTCTTTGTGGAAAATGAGCTCCTGTGTTGATTTCAAGAACCTCTTTGACTTTTGGTTAACGTGTGGTGTTCAGAGTATCTGTTACCTGACCCCTTTTGTGGCAGTCGTGGTACAAACCCCAATGTGCTGGCAGAGATTTCGTCTATATCTCTCCCAAAAGGCTCATCCGCCAGCGCAGTGCTATCCTTGTGTTTAAGATGTTGCAAGAGTTGAATTCTTTTCCAGCTTAGGGTCACGTTTCTCCGTATCTGGCAGGACCAAGTAGGTCTGGGATGGATCCAGGCAAAGCTCACTGTATTAATCCTGAAGACAGTCAGGAAAAAGCAAATATGGAATCAAATTCTTCCTGGCATGCAGAGACCTCAGTTAAAGAACAGTAGAGAGCCATATACAGTATATAGGGTGTTTGTGGAAAGAAGCACAGAATATGATAAGTAAACCCAACTTCTAGGGAAACAGCTGCATATTTTCCCAAGACAGATTGCTTTTTCAGCAGATTATGTAGTATCCGGACCCCCAAACAAAATGGGAGAGTTTGACTCCCGAGAAATAGGTCTCTCCTCATAGCCTATCGCATGTGTCTCCGCTAGGTTAAATTAAGCCAATGGTGCACAATCTACAAGGGAGGCTGAATTTAATGGTCTAAATTCTCAAGTATTCATTTGTGTATTTTATAATTAGAATTTCATTATTCTAAAGCAAATATTTAAAACTAAAGTTATTAAATCACTAATACATTTAAAGGTCCAAAAAGAAATAATTAAAAAGAGTATTCCCATATACATGGAAAGATTTCCATCAAGAATAATCATGCTTAAATGATAAATTCTGTTAAAACTAACATGAGTTTTCCATTTTGTGTCAGAACATGTCAGAATATTTTGTGATTGTGGACAAAGTCAAGTCAACAGTAGCATCTTCCCATACTTTAATGTTCCTCTCATACTAGGCCGAGCTGGGAGGTAAGCTTGCCCTGTAGGTAAGCTTCCTTAGCACTTTCAAGTTATCAGACCCTGTTTTCAGTTCCTTATTATTTTGTCAGACTTGACTCATTGGGCTGAAAATTGCTGGTGTTAGGCACAGGCAAAGCTTTTCTGGAGCATTACAGCAAAATCGGTATTCGTCATTCTGAGAATCAATTTTGAAAGAATGCTTATATCAAAATCATTTTTTTTATATGTCCTGAATAAGGAAATCATGATTTCAGTGGAAAATTTAGCCAGCTCCCCTCTTAAATGCCTGTGATTTGAGCAGATCTGGTCTGCAGGGGTAACTTTTTCACAGAGAGCACACCATTCATTTCTTGTGTATGTGTCCATAAATATGATAGTTTTATTTGTTTCTGCTGTTGCTGGAGTTAGACAGCACATCAGTTACACTCAGATGTGTAATAAAATGTTTTAATTTGTATTATTGATGATGGCAGTTATTTTCAGTTGTTTCGCGGAATGGGTAAGGAAAAGAAAAGAAAGAAAAAAAAAAAATCAACCAGTGTTACACAAAATGAGATTCCCAAGCAATAACTATGGAAATATTAGCATACTTCTAAAAAGGAAGAAAGAACACACGAAGAGCTGGGTGACATTTTAAAGTGATGTGCATAATAATAAGAAATGTATAATTTGATCTTTAGTAGGATTTATAACCCTATTACAAGTGAGTACAGTCAGCTGTTTTCAAGATCTATCAAACGATGATCTAATTAAACTGTGGAGGAAAAGAAAATAAAGACTTGTCTCATGTCTAGCTTGATTTATTAATGGAAAAGGTAACAGATATTAATTGTTCCAGGAGTGATTCAGTTACAGGAAAGAAAACTAATGAGGGTGCTGTATGAAAGGGAGAATTCCAATAAAAAATAGAAGACAGGAAGAAACTTTCACCATGCTTCGTAAACCGCTTGTGCTGTAGCTTGCTTGGAAAACACTTCAATAACACACATGACTGACCTGTGATTCTTCAGGGGCTTTTCTTCAAATTCCAATGAAGGATAAATTCTCAGTAAGGTCAACTTGTATGGACACGAATAGCCTACAGGCTACTACAAGCAACTCAGAAGCACAGTGGTGGCACAGTCAATCACATTGACTTCCATCTGCCCTTAGAGGATAGAAGATAAAGCTATTGTTACCTGCCTGGGTAGCCTAAAGCTGTATCAGATTAAATCTTCAGTCTTTGAAAGACTGTGAGATTCTCATACTGTGCTTGAAAGAGATGAAGTCTGTTCTTTCACTGGGGCGTCTTCCCCATTTAAAGGAGGGGAATTACCTGATTTTGCAACTGTTTTATAATTGTGGTTATCTGGACAATGACATGAAAATTGTGGTAGATAGTGCATTGTTGCATGATTTGAACCAAAATATGTTTGTAATCAGTGACACAATTACACCATGCAAAACATGGGACAAATACAGAAAAACCTGGGAGCAAAAACTGAAGATCAGAGTATTAATATCCAAAATGTAACATTATGGAGCTTTGCTTACAGCTGCATTTTTTTAAGCCATTAGTAGCATAGTAGAGGCAAGAATTAAGATTAACTGTGTCATTCAATATAACCTGAAATTCCATTCACAGTCAGCATCAGTTGGTATCCATTTTTAAAAGCAAGGTAGATAGATAGGTATATTTTAAATGTTATTTATTTGTAAACATTCTCTTAATTTATTTTCCCCTACTTTCACTTCCCAAGCACATTCCTGAGCAAGAATGGCCGATCAGTACGTTGCATGCACATATGCCATTAACCAGAACTTTTATTGTCACTGGCTTTGACAGGAGTCAACTCAGCTCAGACTCAGAAATTCTGGCATTCTGCTTTATTTCTGAATGAGTCTGCATTTTAAAAAAAAAACTGTCATAAAGACTTCTTCAGATTCTGATCCTTCATTTTACCTATCAGCAATTTTGAGATTTTTTTTTTGAGGCCACAAGGTCACTTAGGTGTCCAGAAATACGTTTGTCAGTTGTATTTACTTTATTAAAATTTAGCATGTCAGTCATGCAAATTGACTTAAAATGTGTAACTAAGCATCTACCCATTTCCATACACACTTTTGCGATGATCTGCAGGTATACATGCAAACTGTATGCAACTACCTCTCATCCATTTGAGGGAATTCTTCATTTCATGCATAGGAACCCTGTAAAGTGGTAGCCTATTTACAAAAGACCTTTGGATAATCCTTACCTGAAATTCCATTCACAGTCAGCATCAGTTGGTATCCATTTTTAAAAGCAAGGTAGATAGATAGGTATATTTTAAATGTTATTTATTTGTAAACATTCTCTTAATTTATTTTCCCCTACTTTCACTTCCCAAGCACATTCCTGAGCAAGAATGGCCGATCAGTACGTTGCATGCACATATGCCATTAACCAGAACTTTTATTGTTACTGTCTTTGACAGGAGTCAATTCAGCTCAGACTCAGAAATTCTGGCATTCTGCTTTATTTCTGAATGAGTCTGCATTTAAAAAAAACCTGTCGTACAGACTTCTTCAGATTCTGATCCTTCATTTTACCTATCAGCAATTTTGAGATTTTTTTTTTGAGGCCACAAGGTCACTTAGGTGTCCAGAAATACGTTTGTCAGTTGTATTTACTTTATTAAAATTTAGCATGTCAGTCATGCAAATTGACTTAAAATGTGTAACTAAGCATCTACCCATTTCCATACACACTTTTGCGATGATCTGCAGGTATACATGCAAACTGTATGCAACTACCTCTCATCCATTTGAGGGAATTCTTCATTTCATGCATAGGAACCCTGTAAAGTGGTAGCCTATTTACAAAAGACCTTTGGATAATCCTTACTCCTCTTGAGGTAAGATTTTGATCCTCTCATATATCTGACACCTCACTTTTATTCAGGTTGTTAGGTTTCATAAACGTCAGTGGAACCAGAAAGTCAAAACCTGGAGAGAAAGTATAAACATATTCCTTTCCACTGTTTGTACATCTAGGGTAAATGCCTAATGTGGTTATTAATTTGCATTTATTGTCCACTTGAAGGGAAAGTTACCACATGAGGAATTCTATTAAATTTTAGAGTGCTAACATACCTGTTTGTTGTTGTTACTAAGACTTCAATATGTTTTTCAGTAAAAATAGCTTCACATCATATTGCAATATATCCATATTTTCCCGTTAAAAGTACTTAACATCTTTTCTAACATACTTGTTAGGCATTCCGTCTTGATACTCGAAATACTCTTGCTCCACAGTTCTTGAATGCTCTCCTGGTGGACATCAGATCCTGCAGAGCCCTTACCGAAGCGTTGATTTTGATTCATCCCACCTCCAGCAATCAGCTATTCAGGATTTAATATGTGACCATTCCCTAACACCAGGATGGTATCGCTTTATGATTTTTGATAAGCCTGCTGAGATGCCGACCAAGTGCGTGGAGGTATTGTTAGAACTCATTTGATTATGAGAAATACATATTTTTCTTACGAGTTTTTCAGTAGGATAGGTATAAAAAAAGAATACGATTATGGAGACTGATGTGTAGGAATACAGAGTACCTATTCTGTCTAAATACTTGAGTATATTAAAATGTGTTAACTGGACAATTAAGTCTTAAGTGTTGAAAATTTTACACTGAATGGGCAATAGCAGAGGATGATAAATTACATCCCTTTTAGAGCACTCAAAAACTGTCATTTGTACTCACTGCTGAAGAAGCTTTCTTCAGCGGCAGCGTAGCAGGGATATCATGTTGTAAAGCTGCAACTATGTGATGGTCAGCCTGTTAGGAAGGCCGTGTGAAAGCAGTACGAAGACTTGCAGCCACATGAACCCAGTAATTGTGAAGCTTTTAAAGTGATCATGTTAGAGGGAAGAGATTACTCTGAAAATGACTTGAACTAACAGAGCTAACTGAAGATTGGTTGCCTTGCCATCTGCAAGTCCTCTAAGACTCAATAATTACTTGGAATATTTAATACTTTAGACTTGTAATGCTTTATTTTGAAGCGTACCATCATCTCTGTTATATTCTAAGGAGATATATCTTTGTAGTTTCCTATTTTAAACATTTCCCTGTTTAAAAACAATAAAAATGTCATTAGAATATTCTGCCCGTGATTTTTCTAATGAATTGAAATTGACTGGTCACAGTCTCGTAAAAAAAAAAAAAAAAAAAAAAGAAAAGCCTGACAATGAAACACTTTTAAAGGAATACAAAACAGTTAAGACACACTAATAAAATTGAGTTTATAGCAGCCCCTCTTATTTTTATTTATTTATTTAATTTTTATTAAATCTTTACAGCAATATAAAGCCACTGAAGAACCTTTAATGTGCAGCTGACTCAGGGACTCAGAGGGCTGTGTTGCAGAGGCTACTGTTATCCAGGCTTTTATACTGCAAAAAACTAGCAACAAGTATGATTCCTGAAGGACTTTCTTTCAGTTACATTTAATACAAACAAATCGATTAACTAGTTGTATTTTCTCAAAATGGATACTTTTATGCAAAGAACCAGCATGATAGACCAGGGCAAAAAACAATGTGTTTTTCAGAACAGAGGTTAGACTAGCAAGATACCCGCTCAGATCATCTAGGGAAGTTTTAGGAATCTGACCAAAGTTCTCAGTGCTTAGTAAATATTTGGTAAAAATAAGCTACCATCTTAATACAGAGGAGTCCAGATAATTACAGTTGGAAAGAGATTGATTCAAAACTTATTCAGGAAATGAAATTTATGCATTGACATCTGCTTCTTTGCATCTGTTGACAAAAACAAGACATTTATTTTGAAATCTCAAAGTCAAAACATTAAAACCAAACTAAAACGGATGTCTCGTTTGGGAAGTTTCCTCCTTTCTTTCCCATTAGGAGAACTTTTATTATAGCTATATTTAATCCTCGTCAAAGATTCAGACTGTTAAGCAATCCTTCCCATTTCTGTCTACTTCTCGTTAATTCTGTCTGTCTGATGGATTGACGGTGGGCTCAGATGTTCTAGATTAAGAAAGAAAAGTGTACTTTTGAGATGAGTGATTGCTCAATGAGTCTGCAGTAGTCTTTAGACCAAGAGGTCTAAAGACAAGATGATCTGAGACCTTGTTTCACTATCAGGTCAAAGAAACAAATACTTGAGGTGATGTATGAAAGAGAAGAGGTTCTCAAAATCTCACAATTTCAGATTTATAGTTTTCATGTAAATATTTTCCAAATGCTGGCTTTAACACACCGTGTCCTTCTAGGTGTTTCTCTTCAGTTTGCTTTCTGCAGCACATGAAAGACAGGAGGTGATCTTTAACTCATTCTGGTAACCCATGAACCAGATTCCTCCTTTGTCTCCTGTTCTCGGGATTCATTTTTCTGTATTCCACTAGTAAACTCTGGTGTCAGCTAAATCAGGCTTAACGCTTCGCTTACCATGATTGGTACTACTGTTAAGTTGTGACCTGCGTGGCAGCTTCCTTGACCTGAAGACCTCACATAGCCACAATGGTGAGAGGTGAAGGAGACTATTCCACAGCACACTTCTCACTCCTTGAGGAAAAGCACTGAACAAGGCTTTTGTTTGCGAGAGAGGGAGCAACAGCCCTCTTAAATCACCTGTTGAATCAGCATCTGAACCACAGGCCTGGAGAAGCCCACTGCTTTGTAAACACCAAAGGATTTAGGGTTGCTACAAAGTCACTGTGGTTGTTACGGGGCGTGGAGCTGGGGGATGCTACAAGCATATCTATTTCTAAAGGTGGGGAATTGAAAGACAGACAGGGCTTATCAGGTGTCTTGCATTTTTGGCTAGGGCTGCAAGTCAGTAACCTTGTATCAGCTGGCCACATCTCTTAGAAGAAATCCAGGAGGTTAGCTGAGCCTTCAGTCCGTGGCAAAGGGCAGATAAAGCCTGCCAGCTTTAGCACCTTTAGTTGATATTCAGTGTATGTATGTTCTACCCTGTATTTGCTGTGCTCTGATGGCATGCACACAGTCAGTTACTGTCGGTTTACGGGTGTAGGGTAACTCACTCAGCCATAACACAACTGTTAGCTTTTTTGGCCAAAACACTCAGGTGTGGCTCCTGGTTATGTTCTTCAGGCACTAAATTATAGCCTGTCTTTAGAAACACACATTCATTAGGCTCAAAGAAGGACTTAAGTCTCTTGTGTGTATTTGTATTCAACCTTGAGGAGGAAAGTAAGCAAGCCCTCAATTACACTGTCTAAACTTTGCTAAAAGCTCATGCAGGAAATTAATTGAATACATATGTACCTCATTAAAGCACAGCAACTGTTTGATTTAGCATTAACCATTTTCTGATGTTTTTCTCTGGTGCTGAAGATGAATCACTGTGGTACTCAAGCCCCTGTCTGGTTGTCTCTGAGGGAGTCAGAATCCATGCCTCGACCCGGTGAGATCAAACAGTTAACAGCTTGTGCTACATGGCAGTTTTTCTTCAGCACTTCAAAAGACTGCTGTCTTTTCCGAATCCCTGTCAGTGTGAGGAACTGTGGAGATTTCTTTGTTTACTTACTGCAGCCCACCCAAGGATGCATGGGGTATTGTGCAGAAGGTGAGAAAATGCATGCTCTAACTCAACTAAGTGTGTGTGTTTATGAGTAAGTGTGTTTCTCTGATATTTGGCTGAGCGGAAATGCCTGGAAATAGTTACACATGCTGAAATTTCTTTCAAGCCTTACTTTTAATATTGATATGATAGAAAAATGATTTGGTATGTTAAGGTGGGTTCAAACCAACCCTTTTTAACTTACATTTAGCACTCAAGTATTGTTCAAAGCCCAGAAACCTAAGAATTGAAATTTTCCATATAATGAGGTGGGGATATAAGACACAGCCAGAAGTCAAAATTCAGAGTACCTACGATGGCACTCATACTCTGCAAACACCCATTACTGACTATGCATAGGATTATGTGTCAGAGTAAATTTTGTTTAAGAACTTGACCAAACTTATATCAATTATTGTTTAGCGTCGTTAGGAATATTTTTCTTACTGTAACTCTTTTATCATCTTTCTGGAGAGTATACACGTTGTTGCTAGAAGAAAATTCAACACAGAAATACTGATACACACTTTATTAGTACTATGAGAAAGAACTGGAGTCCTTTTGCAATGTCTCACGTTGTCTTGGACCCTTGTGCTGCAAAAGCGTGTTGGTGTTCATAGCTCAAAACTTCAGTATTTCATTATTCATGCCAGATGTTTTAGATAAGGAAGGTATGGTTAAATCCTTACAGTTATAAATACTGTGAAACAGTGACAAATCAGTGTAGTAGGAAATTCTTACTAGCTTGTATAACACACTGTTGTGAAAATACTAGCAGTATTTTTATGCATCATATACTGTATTGCTCTAAGTCATACTCTGTATTACTGACTGCTTTCAAAAGCCTGATAGCAAAACTATCAGTGGGTTTTCTGGTGCCTTATTGGTCCATCGTTGTACCTTTAGGTCCAATTGTTAAGGCATTCTCCAAGGGTTTATTGACAGGAAAAAAAATGCCAGAAATGGGACATTTCAGCATGCAAGTGACTGAACCAATGAAGAACTCCTGCACTATAGGACTTTGCATTTACTTTGGATGATGGCTTATGAAGAAGAAAGAGGATATAAAAACCATAGGCCGCAAGCTAGCAAATTTTTACTGCCTCAAAACAAAGTAGTCAAGAAACATAACTCTGGTTTGGCTCTGCTGAATACTGTAAACCTGAAACACATTTGGAGTTTAAAGTCACTCTTTTAAGATGATGTTTTCATGTGAAGTGCATTGTATTCTTGTGCTGCTTTTTGTATCTAGGTTATCATGTCTACTGTGTTTTCTCTTTAACACTTGATAGCTGTAAACACTTGATGCAAATTTTCAAACAGTCTCTCCTCTACATGCTAAGGAAACAAACGTATCACTGAAGCGTGGAACATCAAAATCTGCTCTTCATTCTTTTTGGTGGATGGGGTTTTCAGTGTTGCTGCTGCCCTTTTGACTTAGTTTGAGTGGCGTGACTAACCTCTTTCTACTCCTGTTACAAATGCACTGGTATTTTCATGTTTAATCAAAGTTCCACTTTCCTTTTTTATAACATTCGAAGTACCAAACAAGTGCACAAACACTTTTTCTTAGGCCCCTGTAGGAAAGGTGATTTTTTTCAAAGCAGGTCTGCACTGAATTTGGCTGTCCAGGGTTACAGTTAATGAATAAGCATTCAGATGTGGCTTTGGGGAGACAAAATTTATATTCAAGAGAATAGTTTAATTCCTTTTTATTCACTAACAACATCTGTACGTATTGGCTGGGTACATCTGCAGTAAAAGATGCAGAGGTGGTAGAATATTCTGTACCCTTCCTCCTAGGTGTAGCCAATCTACTTGTGATTTCCAACACAAGGCTTTGTACTGACTGCTACCATAATTGGATATGGATCAGATTACAAGATTGCTTCTGTTCTGCTAATTTACACTTCAGTTAGTGTCTTGTGATATTTGGTGTGTTTTTAACATAGGGCAATAATTTAAGAGCATTGGTGTACCTACTCTGTATGTGTGTGAATATACAATTTAACAACAATTTATAGTTGTTTCAGATGCAAAGCCACAGACCTGTGATCCTGAGGGAATGCAAATTCAAGGCGTCTATAGCAGTGAGTATTTTGTTCTGATTTTCAAGTTTTTTTGTGCATCTATGACCCAATAACGTCAACATTTAGTCATATTCTGTCTTGAATAAAAACGTGTTCATGTTATCAACAGTATTGCTCGGTCTGTTGCAAAATGAGTAGTTTGGAGGCAATTTCAGACCTTGGATTACAAAAGTACTTGCTCAGCATAATGTTCAGAATAAGTACCAAAATGTTAAAAAGTAATTTTAATCATGCTGATTTACAGATTACTTTGATTCTTTGGGAGTCAAATATAAGATAAATCTACAAATCATACTGTTGCTTATTCTGTTCCTTTTTACATAGCCCTTTTTTTTTTTTTCTTCCACACACCACCCCCCCCCCCCCCCCCCCCCCACATATTCAACAAAATTATCAGGCAAATTCCTTTGCATGTTGCTCTCTCCTGTCTGGTAAAATAATTAGTTGTATTTTATGCCCTTGTTTTGGGGTTTTTGCCTCCTCCTCAGCACCTTCCTAGAATATAATCAAAGGCTAATAAAGACGTTTTTTCTCCTTTTAATAATTAATAAAAGGAACATACACATTTTCTCTGATTCTCTAAGCAATTATGTAATATTTCTACATATGCAAAAAGGTAGATAATATTAGTATATTAATTGGCAAAATATATGTCAATGTCATTTCACCCGATGTTGTTTTTGCACAGAATAAAAAGCACAAACCACTCTTCTGTTTGGCTAGGTAACCTGGCTCCTTCATCATCTCCATCTGTGTCACCACCACTGCCAGCCATTCCTGAAGTTGTAGCAGAGTTGATCAAAGGCAGCGTTTACCTAAGGTGTACCTTTGGCGTTCCTTTTGCAAACAGCTCAGTCGGATTCATTGTAACTTGGTCAAGACTTTCTCCTGAAGGTATCAAAGAAGAACTGAAACATGAAACAGCGGTTCATGCGTTCTCACTTCTAGAACTAGATGGGATAAACGTCAGACTTGGAGACAGAGTATGTTAAAACATAATTATAATCTCTTTGTATCTTTGTAAATATGGCTCAGTAGACACTAACAGTTGTTAGAGACAGAGTTCCAGCACCTTGCTGTATAATTTTTCTTGGCAGAAGCATACTGCCTCTAGTTGTTGTTTACACCACCAGTGCCCATATGAATGTGGAAATACCAGAGAATATATCAGTAATTATCACTGCCGTTAAGGTTTTGAGACTGTCTGTCTCAGTACAGTATAGTGTGTCTCCTGGAGATAAATGTTTATTCAAGTTGCATCTTCTTCACCCTCTACTGTGATTTTGTTTGATACTGTAAATTAAGAGGGTTTTTGGATGCAACTGCATCTAAGTGAGAGGCTGTAAGAGCCAGAGCTTGTGAGAAGCTGTGTTGTTGATTCATTAGATAGATTTCTTTTCTCTGAATCAATAATGAGCTGCTGCTTGATGGTTTTGTCTCTAGGATCAGATTTAAATGGTTTAATCTCTGCCATCAAAAGCAGTGGGAGTTCCTGCATTACCTTCCATGGTAGCAGAATCAAGACCTAGGCTCTCATGGTAACTTTGAGAAGCTTAAGCATTGGAAAATCAGTAAGCTTTCTACCTGTATATACCAAAATACAGGTTAATTTTTCCTCGCCAAAATAAAAAACAAAAAAGCATATGGTTGGTGTGCATGTGCATTCAAGCCACAGCCAGGCTGCTTTGATGGCTTATGGACAGCAGTAGCAATTGCTAATCCCCAAAAATCCTTTGGGGACTTTGTGAATAGTTGCCTGACAGTGTTAGCTCAGTGACAGTCAAAAGGAAAGGTACAGTCATAAATTACCTGCTGCTGCTATGGACCCTTGGTTTTCTCAGGATCTGAAATACTGCATGTGTGGTCAACACATCTCAAAAGGGATACAGCAAAATAAACAAAAAATGCAAAACCATAGTGTCTGGTAGCATGGAACTGGTTCAGAGGAGGGAAATGACAGTAAATTCTTCAGCTTGAAAAATATTATCCAGGCCCTTAACACCAAGAAAAAAGTATAGTAAGAAGAGGAGGTGGAGGGGATGGTTGCTTTGCATAATCTAAGATTTAATGGACACTCAACAAAATTAAAAGGCAAAAAATGTGAAACAGACAAAAAGAAGTAAATAACATGTAATAAAGTATAACATGCATTTCCACAAGATGTCATGGGGAGCCGAAATGCTCCAGAAGGGATTTGTTAAATCTGTGGAGACTTAGGTGCTTGTTAAATATGATGGTTTGCATGCGGCCTTTAGTTCAAGAAGTCTCTGCACCACTGGTGGAGTCTGCCAGGAAAAGGTCTTAGGACGCTCGATCTGCTTCTGTGTTTTTCTTAAGCACCACTGGCAATTGGTAACTTCTGGTGCAAACAGAAGACTGGGTGTGATGAATCCATCAAACTGACCCACAATGGCTGGGTTTTGTCTTCATGTGACCACTTCGTACCAAGAATGTATTCTATTTTGCTGGTTTTGCCCTGCAGGTCTACTGTAGCAGTTCTGCTTTTGTCATGGAGAAGCTGGACATACAAAGCTCTTCTGTTGAGAGCAAGGAATTTTTTGCTGGCATTAAGGTAATTTTGAAAGAAAATAATGTTTTACTTTATCGTAGTAGGAATCTTTGTGAGTATTGCTACAGCAGTCAGTCCTCTGACTAGAAGGCACTCAAAATGTATTAATTGTGAATTAATAGAGCATGTTGTTGGCTGTAGTGAACTTAAATTTGTCAAAAAGCAGAAGAGTCAAAGTTGTTTCTGTGCTCCCCATGTACTCAAGGTGCAGGAAGGCTGAATCGGCAACTCGCACACGTAGTGCGAGCCTTGGTTTCCAGGAGCTAGAGTCGACTCTGACCCTGTCTTTGTGAACTAGGAGGGTAAAACCTGAGCCTGAGCCCTGGCACACTGTTGTCCATTATGTTTGACTGCTGATGCCTTTTCTGGCATGATTTTGGCTTACGCCAACAGGCTCTCCCAGTGCATGGCTCATGAGATAGCCTAGGCCAGGGCCTCTTCCCAGCTGGCCATGGGGGTAAGGGAAGGGTGAGGCCAACCTGGTCTGGGCTTAGAGAGGGAACCTGGGATGTGAGCTGTGCCGTGCCACTTGCCCAGAGGCCAAGCTCCAAAATCATTTTAGTTCCTACTGTGGATATAGCTTCAGGGACCCATTTGCTGGCCAGGAATGGGACCCCAATCCCAGAAAGACATACTGCATGTCATTACATGTTGGGAATAGTCCAGTTGACTTAAGGGTTTGCCCTTCAGTTAAGCCTGAGCTTATGTTTCTGCAGGATCAGGGCCCAGATTTATCTCATGTTAAGTGCAAGTCTGTAGTGCAAACTGCAAAGTGTGAATGCATTATTTTTGTTTTCCTGTGAGGCTGCATTCGGGATTTCACCCAATGTACAACACTCAGTTGTAAGCCTCTGTTACTGATCTCTACTTGCATTTTTGATTATGCATCTGTAGTGAGCTGTGTTGTAAGTTTATGGAGAGGAATCCCAGGAGAAGTACGGTGCTTCCAAATTCTTCTGGGACATTGTTGCCTGTAGGTAGCTTCCCCCTCTCCTCCCCCCAGACAATACACCAAACTTTGTATTTTAGCTTCCAGAAGGTACCCAGAGAATACATTTTTGTGGTGTTAATGTGGTTTCCTAATTCCTTACCTTTCATAGCTAGCTTTTACTCTTGCTGTTTCCTTTTCCTTTTCCTTGCCCCTTACTCCCACCTCTTCAAGACTCTTGCTGCTGTGTCCTCATCTTCTCCCCAGTATGCTGCTGCTCTTCAGACCATCTAAATAAGCCTGATGAAGTGGAGCAGGCCATGCACTATGCTATTCCATCTCTTTAGGTTTTTTTATACTGTACTCCTAGCTGGTTAGTAAGCAGTGCTGTAGTTTACTCACAAAGTTTGCATTTTAAGTACAATTTCTTCTGTGCTAGATACATCCAGAAACGTATGATATATCAGAAGATGGGAAGGAATACAGACTGGCAATAGAAAGTAGCATTCCTATTCCTTGTCCTGAGTTTAGCCAGCTTGAAAGTGACTGCAAAATCTCACTAACATTAAATACTGTTGATGAGGGTAAGTATTATCATGATTTTTTGTTGCATTTCATATGTTTAA